TTAGTTAAACTGTTAGCTGAAATTAAAAGGAATTTAATTATTTTGTGATTTCAATTTATAATTTCAATACAAGATAATATATCTCTTCTAAAAAGCAACTATGTAAGAATCTAATTATTGTAATTTGTGAATTAAGTATTCACCTGCTGGACAGGTCTTAGAATTCATTTGTACCAGTGAATTAGCTAATGCTTTCTAAATCTTAAGAATATAAAAGAAGCTCAAATATAAAGTCAAGTCAAGTAGAATAGCTATATTCTTCCTCTTTGGGTATTTTTACAGTTTAACTAATCTTAGAGATTTAATTACTTAACACATATAGACAGATAGACACCTAAGATCGTAAGACATGTGCTGTTAAGTCAATGACCGAACTGAGCAAAACTGTGTGTCTTAAATCCCAGGCTGGGACCTGTCCTAAATATTCAGTTTTCACTTGAATATTTATTTGAACACCCCACTAAGTCTGCCGACTTATTGTATAGACCAGACTCATTTTGAAATACTGGTAAAAAAAATAATACATGGGTTTAAAAATAATCTTGTCATGGTCAGCATCTTGGTCTTCAGAATTGGCGTCCCTCCTCCCTCAAAGCTTTGTCTTTAAGTCGAGCAGAGGCTTTCCAATTTCTCCTCTCACTTCCCACGACTTCGAGGTTTGCTCACCCCCACCACCCAGATAATGTCAGATTTCAAAATTACGTTCAGAGCCACTGTTCATATTTGAGACGATTCAGAGTGTCTTGACTGCCAATATAAAATGACAGTAAATTAGCGGCTGGGAGTCCTGGAAAGCATTCTCTTCGCCTATGTCCCACTTTTCTTTTGCATGGATACATGGATCTGACAGAGCCCACGGGAGTTCTGTTCACAGTATTCATGTTCACCCTCTGTGCAGGCTCCGACTCAGATAGACCAAAGTAGGAAACACTGTCAAACTCTTCTATCAGGTGTTGACATCAAAGAACACAACACCTAAAAGCCTACTCTGATTGCGACTGTTTCCATTAATGCTATCGGGGCGCTGGGTGTCGGGGGGAGGTCTAGTGGTGGCTCTCCCTCCTTTGGGGGACATAGCAGAAGGTATCGCTAAGACTATTATGACCCAGATGACCAGCGATCCAGGGTGGGTGAGCCAGCACTGAGATAACACAACTGGCTTGTCAACGGGTTTCTAACAGCCGCATGGAAGAGGCCAGCTAGTTAGTCTCTGAGGATGTGTAGAAAGCGAGGTTCTAACTCCATCTGTCATTGGAAATCAAGAAGAGGCGATCTGATGCGTGTGTGGTGGAGGTGGGGTGTTAGCTCAGGAAAAATAGTCTCCAACAGAAGCAATCTGTCAGCAGGTGAGAGTCAACACATTGGTTCCCAGTGACCCCTTCAGATGGAACCACATTCCCAGGCATCACTCAGGAATTCAAATGTCAGCAGACGCAGCTATTTTATCCCTTCAGCATAAGCCATGCCATAATGCTGGTTAGTTCATATTTGCGCATAGTGTGCATGGTGCTAAAGAGGTAGGCAGAGTTTATCAGGAGCTTAGTAAAGAGACAAAGGATCAGAGGCATGTCTCACGGCCCTGTGGACGAATAGGGATGCTGTCTAGACAAGCCTGACAGAAGCAAGTTACGTGTGGTGATCTATGAGTACATTCATGAAGGGAAAAAACTACTGGTTTACCAAATCTCATGGGAATCTAGGCTTCCTCTACATGTAGGTCTTCATATGTCTGAGGTCCCAAGTAGAAAATTATGGATGGACACAAGCAGACCTGTGGTCGGGACAGAGTTAACACACACCCAGCAGTGGGGGTAGTCACTTTCCAGCCCAGGATCTTTTGATGGAATTCTTTGCTTGAAAGCGTTTGTTCCATTTTCCTGAAGGGCAATTTTAAGACCACGGTTGTTCATTTGGCTGTTGATAAATCACTCCTGGGAAACTTCCCTCAAAGTAGTTTCCTTAGTTTCTGTCTCATGCAAAGGAGAGGAGAGAGGAGAGAAGAAAGAGAGAGAGAGAGAGAGAGAGAGAGAGAATATTTAAAGTTATAAACTGCACCAGTCAAGCCCTTTGCATAAAGTATTCTGGGAGACTTCACGTTCTTCTCCTGTCCTGGAGTTTTATTGAAATTAATTCTACTTTGATGTTTTGGTTTCTAGGTACCTCAGAGTCCTCTTCAGTAAATAAAGGGGGAGGTCCCAGATGAGCTCTCAATCTTCCAGCATCTCAATGTCTGTGGTTCCATGAACAGCACTCCAGAATAAGGCAGTCACTGAGCTTTACGCACTCTGGGTGTCCTTTGAGCCAAGACAAGGCCTCCTGTTTCTTTTGTAAATGGGAGGTCATATACATGGTCAACATTCAGTAGGTTCTGCATGTAGAACCAGTTCCTGGACACAGGGAAAAGCAATTGTTTCATGTGGGCTTGGGTTAGGGTACTTTTGATGACATACTTCTCTGTCTGATGGTGACACGGGTGGTAGACACAATAGAATATACTGTGCTACACACATATTTAGGATGTGAGGCAGAAAATACGCCCTCAAAATATATTCTTACAAGGAGCACTGTAGGCCACGCCCAAGGATTCAGTGTCACTGCAGGCCAAACAGCTGAAAATTATCTGTAGCAAAATAAGTATTAGGGACCTAGATAATGGGAAATTTTCAAAGAATCTTTATTCTCTTAAGTTTCTTCATATAAAACAGTACAGGCTCTACTTGAATGACTTCATCATCATCACTTATTTGTTCTCATGCCATTCTCTGTAGACAGTTATATTAAATTGAATTTATTTGAAGTATTACTTCAAATATAATGAATGTGTTAAGGAAATATTTTGTTGACAATTAAAAATAAAAAAAATCTATTCCATTTTAACTTCGAGGGTGCCTACATTAAAATTATAACCAAGAAATAAATACAAATAGGCATGCCTAAATGTGTGATTTTGCAGGTTGGTCCTAGACCAGTTCAGTCAAGCAAGTCACCCAATTTTTTTAAATTTCCAAGTGCATATAAAAGTTATGCTTACACTATACTGTAATCTATTGAGTGTGCAGTAGCATTATACAAACGCTTGAAATACTATGAAAATTACCAACATATGAAACAAAGACATGAAGTGAATACGTGCTATTAGAACAATGGCATCGATACACTTGCCCAACATTGGGTCCATATCTGCAAATCATAATAGAAAGAGGGCAACCAACGCGGTGTGCCCATCATAAATGACTGCAGAGGGGAACGGGAGTTTTCCAAGGCAATGAGCTCAGGTCACCTTGTCAACGGTCACCAATCCTTTATGAGAATTCGTTTAAAAGTTTGCCCCTTGATTTAGGGTAATGACCTAAGAGCCTAAGACATTACTAGGACTTGCACATCCTGTATCATCTGGAAGGCTGACTGATGGCCTCTCGCTGCCCGGTGTCCCAGTGCCTCATTGTAATCAAGTTTACAACAAAGTGGGCACCTGGGGCACTGTGTTTATAATCAGAGGGTAGAGAGAGAAGGATAGAGGTGGTCGTAATACTTAAATGGTTGGTTCACACCCAGGGAAGACCAGCTGGCTTCAGAGCGTCTTAAAGGTGAAGGTTTGCCTGTCTTTCAGCAGTGGAAAATTGATGGTGAAAATTAAGCATGCACAACTGACTTGAAATGATCCGTGGCTTAGCCAGAGGAACTTGACTCTTGTGGTGATTTCATTTCAGCCCAGCACCACCTCCATCACATTTAATTAATAATGCTAATTCAATTTATTCTAATTGCATAGGACTGTGAACATTTCATTTCAAAATTCTTCTGGTTTTAAAGCACAACATCTGAACTATATGAACTTTATGACTCTTTATGCTTTAAATAACATAGGGATAAAATAAGTTAACATTGAGAAAATCTATTTAAGTCAATGGTGAAGTTTCTTAGAGTTTTGTTTTGGCCTTGAAATAAAACACAATTGCGAGATGCAATTAATAGTTTCTAACCCCAATTTTCATACAGTATTTGAATGAGACTGCATGTTCCTTTCCATTGCTTCCTCAAAACCCTCATTTCAATCGGGTGGGTTCAATTAACACATTGATAATAACAAATAATTCATCCAGTTCAGGAGGGAGATCGATCTTCATGTAAACTCATACCTGTGCTTGTTCATTGCTAAATGTATGAACTTGGACACACTTAATTTCTCTCTTCTGGCATCCTCATCTGTAAATGGGGGGTGGGAATACTTAAAAGGGTTATTCTTCACAATAAAATTGCATGGATATTAAACTAAGCTGTTCACTCCTCAATTAAATAATAATAGCATTAAATGAAATTTAATTAAGAACAAAAGGTAGCTAGTATTTATAGTAGACAGAAATGCCAACTGGTAGAAACTCAAGTGTATTCCTAGTGATTTTCATAAGCGATAGAATTTCTTTTCTTGACGAAAGCAATCCTGATCATTTCAGAATTATATCACTTATTTTTGGTTTTGCTTTTAGTTTTTTTAATGTGAGAGAGAATTAGGAATGAGATTCTGGCAAGAGGGACATTGTTTCACTGCATCTCATACTGATTGGGAAACTACCGTGGCCATCTTGTCTACCTCCATAAATGTCTCCTGCTCCTGTTACACAATTTGGGCTTTATTTAGGTGGTTTATTGTGGGGCTCTCTCATCCAAAGCTGAGACTGGCACCAAATGAGGTTGCCTGACACTTTATAAGGCATGATGAAAAGTCCAGGGCTCCCAGACAGCCATTCACAGTGTGATTTGGAATCCACTTGAAATTGCATATGACGAGTTGAGCTTCATCTGGAGAGGCCTAATCAGAATCTGTCTACCATTCAGTAGACATAAAACAAGTCCATTCATTGTGTCAGAATTCATCTCTTGGCTACAGAATGAACAGTAACCTAAAATCAATGCCAGTCGCTGTATTTTGCTTACACGCTTGAGATTGTTCTCTGCAATGTTTTAGATTTCACTTTTAACAGCCCCGTCTTCTATTTCAGGGCCTACTCTTCCCAAGACTCATGTGAAAACAGCCTCTCTTGGTTTGGCTGGCAAGGCTAGATCCCCTCTGCTTCCTGTGTCTGTGCCAACAGCCCCTGAAGTGTCTGAGGAGAGCCACAAACCAGCAGAGGACCCAGCCAATGTAAGAGCAGCCTTGAAATCTACATGGTAGCATGGACGTTGAAGCACGTGCTGCTGGGGCATGATGCAGTCTCCGCCTGCGAGCACTCTCAGTTAACCCCCAGCCATCGCCATCCTGCTCACTGTTTCATTGTTGTTGGGGTTTTTTCCGCAATCAAATACTAAGAGAAAAATCATCGAGGGAAACATTTATATAGAGACTTAGTTAAATGAGCAATTTAGTGGGTACTTTCAGGTAGTCTTCAAGACACAAAAACTGCCAAGTGTTTGATTGTGACCAGTGCTTCAAATAGAGGTTAAGTGATATCAAAGATCAGATCTTATTTTTGCTGCTCCTAAAATCCCATAAGGCTTGTATAGAGAGAAATATAGCGTTTACATACATGACATGTGTATGGAGTTTATATGTACTCTATAGGGTATACATATGTAAATAATATGATGTATTATTTGTGTATGTGTGGAGGTGTATTCACTTAAAAGTGCACATGGGGAGGCTCCTGCTCACTGACTTTCCTCCAGGAAAGGCCAATGGCTAGTCCAGGATGGCATCCTGTTTTGTAAAGCAGACGGCCAAAGGAAAGGAGGGCCACTCTCAGTGAGACTGCTCACACAGTAGCCCCAAGAATGGACTCTAGATGGTGCAGACTGGACAACATGTCACTCGGTGATATGTCAGGCCACCATGAGTCAGCGCCAACCTGATGGAAAGTAGCAACTCGATACTTTTATTTTTCAAGTATAACACAAATAAATAAGGTGCACATGTGTCTGAGATGCACAGGGAACTAATGAGAGAGGGGTGGCACAGTTAAAAAATGTGGGTTTAATATAAAATGCAGTGTGTACATATATTTTATATATAGTTACATGTATATGTACACACAGGTGCATGTATATGTATGTATGCACAGATATGTGTTTGTGTGTGTATCTATATATGGTGTAATAGAATGAAGTACCTTGGCCTACAGAAAATTAAGGCTATATAGTTACACTTAATTTTTTTATTACGTATCAGATAGCTATATTCTGCAGTATGATTCAACGTCTTTTTGTCATTCTATCACTTATCTCTGCTTCTTGGGAGCACGTTCCGTATCACTCGTGGCACCTCACATGTGTTCCCTGGTGTACTTCTTGATTTATGCCACGGCACTAAACACGACAGAAAGCATGCAGGAACTTTTCCCAGAGTTCACTTTTACCTGCAGAACATAATCACTGAGGAACGGTGACACACGAATGTTCAAGGGATCCACGTCTCAGTGGATCTGTGGCGCGCAAACCTGTCCTAGTCAAGTGTCGACTTTAGTTAGCAAAGACGAGGTGAGCATGAGCCGTGTTTTCTGAGAGAAAAAGTTATCTCCCGAGGAAAGAAACGAAAACTAGGCAATTTAGGAAAATATAGGAAAAAAGAAGAAAAAAAAATACACTTTTCAGAGAATGAATTAAAAGGGATTCAGAAAATGTTTTTTGAGAGCTGCTATTTTTAAAAACTCCACTTTTAGATAAATATGAAGCACATTGAGTTTTCATTCAACAATTAGTATACATTTTGTTCCATTCCATTGATCGTAATCTATACAATGTAACAACAGTCTTCCTACTTCCTCCCTGTGTTTATCATTTCCATCCCTCCTTCCTTTCTACCGTCAGAGTTTTATCCCTGGGAACATACTGCTCTTTTCATCTTGTGTGGTTCACTCTTCCATGGACTGTTTACCTCTCTGGTGTTATTGTTTACTTGGGTGACCTAGCCAGTATTTGGCTGAAAATTAAGCCACAGGAGTGAGTTCAATTTTAGGCCTGAAGTGTGATTAATGGCCACAGTCTGAGGGGTCCCACCAATCTCTATCAGACCAGTACTCCCTGTCTTTTAAAAATTTATTTTTAATTGTGTTCCACATTTTGTTCTGATTCTAATGCAAACCTTTGATTGTGATCCCTTTTACAGCTGTTCAAAATAGTAGTTGGGTACCATCTAATTCTTCTGGTCTCAGAGTGGTAGAGGCTGGGGTTCACAGGATCCATTTGTCCTTTGGACTGTTTCCTTGTGCCTTTGATTGTCTTCACTCTTCTTTACTCCAGACACGGACAGACCAACTCAGATGGCCACTCGCAAGCGTTTTAGACCCAAGTCCACTCACCAAGTAGGATGTAGTACCTTATCTTTGTGAACTCTGTTACGTCAATTAACCGTGATATCCCCCTGAGAATGCAGTGCCTCCCACCAAGCTCAAAGACCAATGTGGAAAATATTTTGAGGCCTCCTTAAAAAGTTTGGGATGTGAATACTGGTTCTACATACAAACTAAAGTCATAACCCCCAGACTTTATACTGGCCAAAGCAAAGACCATGGCACTCCCAGGCACTCCCAGGTAGTGATGAAGGAACTTGATTTGAAACGGGATCTTTTGGACTGGAAATCCCCCTTTTCTTTCTTGTTCAAGGGATGAAACCCTGAAACCATAAGCAGTCACTCCCACCCCCTCTTTGATGATCAGCATCTTCATTCACTCAATATATTCTGAGTTCCTGGGGCTTGTTGAGAGGCTTGGGCATGCCAACAGCGTAGACCAACCAGCCCTGGCACCTGCCTTCCTGAAAGGACTGTCTCAATATTCACCTGTACTGATGCTTGACTTTGTTTTTCTCTCACCAGGTGTATGAACAGGATGATTTGAGTGAGCAAATGGCAAGTTTGGAAGGGCTAATGAAGCAACTTAACGCCATCACAGGCTCAGCCTTTTAACACATATTGCAGAATTGATGAGGTGGATTTTCCGGGAACTTTGCAGCGTACCAATTACCCATAAGCAGCACACCTGTGTCCAAGAACTCTCACCCGTGTACAGGCCATTTACCAGGACCACTCTGTTAAGGAAGATCAACTCAGAAGGAATTCAGAAGAAATGAACATCCCTCCTTCCACAGGTGTCAGGACTGGTTAAGTGGTGACGCCAGGGTCCCAACCTGAACTCAGTGCAGTGGCAGGCCTGAAGCTGCTAGAATAGTTCCGGGTCTGTGCCACTGCAGTGACCAAGCTGTCCCAGTGAATGCCTATGCTTGACTCTGTTGAGGCTTGTCCTTTCCGCTCTGTATAGGTCTTGTCATACAAAATGCTAGTGCATTATTTAAGCCTGTGTCATACCCTGGCATATCCGTAGGCTCGCTACTTAGCTTACCACTTCCACATACAAAGCCCCCATAGGCATTTTCTCACTACATAGCACCAAAGGATCGGATGTTTTCGCTGACAGCACAAAACATAAATAAATCAGCAAAAGGCAGCCAGCACCTGGGTCCTGGAACCCCATCCTTAGTCTTGCACAAGTGGTGGGTAGTAGCAAGGAGCTGTCAGTTTCACCCATTTTAGCAAGTCTTTGGAAACCCGCCCTTAGGTAACATTTAAGTGTGGAAAACAAGGGACGCCAAAAAGCTGCAACTTGTGGTCTCCTGTCAGCACCTGTGCATGTCCGGAAAGAGAACACAATATGCAATCTTCTCAGACACACGGTAATTATGTGCTTAAGCTTGTAATGGAATGCTTTTCGATTTGGGTGGCTTCTGTGCCGTCCGTCCCACACTGTGATGACATTTCCAAGCTTCCCCATGGCTATCTTCCTCTGGAGCCTGGAGCTGAGGCTGGCCAGAAGAATTCCCTCCTTGAGCCCCCGTTGGCAGTCAGCCTGGGTGGAGGTGGCCAGTTTCCCAAATAACATAGCCTCCAGGCCAAGAATCTCTGTCCTTGATGGTGGAAATGGCATTCTTTGAAAGCAGACCCCTAGGAAGGGAAGGAAAGTGGCAATGAGTTTCCAACTCTAGTTTCTCTAAAGGGATGCCGATTCTGCCAGCAGGCCTCCCCCCCCCCCCCCCCAGGCTTACACAGCGCAGCATGGGCAAGTGACAACTATTGGGCCATGTTGCCAATCGAGCTGGCTAGCCCTTGCCAATGTCAGGTTCAGGGAGGAGCAGAGGGGAAGGGACCACTTGACAGGCACGCGCCATGGTAAACCCAGTGATGACTTTTCCAAGCAGGCTAGGATTTTCAACTGTCCTTGCCAGGCTTGGAACACGCTGAGATTCAGAACATTTTTTTGTGCACACCCATTTAGTTTCTGAATTTTCAGCTGCATTGGGAGTTAATCCCTGTTTATGCAGCAGAGTCGCCAAAAGGGAGCTAGTTTGCATATTTATCAGTTAAGGCGACTTGAAAACCCACTAAGAGAGTTTCAGCTGAGGTATTCCTTTCAGCTCTGCCTTTGATTTCAAGCTTGACTAGGTCATAATTTTAAAAGAGCCTAGAAAGGATCGGATCTTTACAACCTAATAGCTCCTTTTATTAGGTGGGTAATTATATTTGAATCCCTGAATGAAATATTTTGAGCAAAATGGCACTGTAACAGAAGTAATAATTCAGATTATTTTTTTACAGTTTTATGTCGGGAAGGAAATCTGATGTCAAAGAGAGGGCTTGTTCAAATGGTTCATTAGAAAGTCTGGTCCATTTGTGAAGTTATTCCTTCAACAGGAGTGTGCGTTCAATTCACCAAGACTTTCTGGAAGTCTCTTTGAAGAGCTCTGAGGCAGATGGCCTTTGTTCAGCAACTGGGCACTTAGGGAAACCACGCCCCACTGACCCTGGAATAAGACAGTGGCTACCATAATACGGAATCCTGTAGACACAATCTATTACATCAAAGAGAAACTGTGTATCAGGTGGGCATCACCTTCAGGAGGCCCCAGAACGGCCTTCCTTCTTAACACTCAAGAGAGAGGAATGTTGTGTGAAGTCATTCAAACCGCACCCCCCACCCCATGGGTGGTCCTACGCTCAGTTAGGAATGGACCGCAAGCCTTCATGTTCATGGTTTCAGTCGCCCCTTCATTCTTGGGGAGGACCATCAAGAGCACTAGCATTTTCACAAATCTAGACCCTGGTAGTTGAATGACCTTTAGCAACAAAAGTTGAATGACCTTTATTAACAAAAGGTGAATGACCTTTCGCAACCTAAAGGTGAATGACCTTTAGCAACAAAACATCTAAAATAGGCTTTTAAAAATGCAGTGACAGTGACAACTGTGAGAGCCAGAACTGCTGGTGTTTCTGAGTCTTGCAAGTTTTCTGTCTTTGAGAGGCACGGTCTCACCATCTTTTTTTTTTTAAATCATTCATTCAGTGAACAAAAAGATTTAAGTTAACCTTCTCAGACAGGTTAGCACCTTGCGCAGGTTCTGGCTTCCACAGCTTGTAATGTAATTGCTCTTAGTGAGCATCGTATTTCTGCCACGTGTTCTTGAAACTTTCTTCATTAAGCCAAGCCAGGTGCCATGGGATGAATCCCATGGGTCACAGGAGAACTGGGCTCCGTGGTGTTTTTGATGGCTGGTTTTGGGGGAGTAGATCAGCAGGCTTTTCTTTTGAGGTGCCTCTGGGTAGCCAACAGCTCCTTTAGCAGTCTAGCATTAACCATGGTCACACACAAGGATTCCATGTAACAAATGCAATGGCTTATTTCCCTAGTTGTCAATACCGCTGTGGCCCAGTTTCATTGTGAGTAGGAGAATCCATTTAAATACACTCCAGAGGCCTTTGAGTGCTTTGCCTGAGGATTTCCATGTGCATTCCTTGATTTCATACCTCCTGCGCAATTCCGCTGCCCCCTGCCCAGAATGGGTCACCAGTGAGGCCAACGGCTCACCTGGGTGCTCTTAACGTTCCTAGTCCCCTGAGCTCCTGACAAAGGTTCATTTGTGGATATTGTTTTGCTCCAACTCTGACTCTGCCTTACCGACTTCTTCAGAGTTCAGTATGTTTCCTTTTAGTTTTCATGCTGATGGGGACAATCTGTCTTTTGTTTATTTTGGAAATCCCACCCTTTACTAAACATAAAGCCTGCAGACTGCTAAAAATATATAAGATATTTGAATGATATTATACCCACTCCTCACTTATTAGCATGGCTCAGTTCCAAGGGCTGCACCCTTATGTAAAGAGCAGCCATATATGAAAATAAAGAATGACCTTAGCAGATCACAATTCGGAAGATGATTACATCATCACCTAACTGCCACATCGGTCCATCACTGCTAAACCACTGAGAATCATGGCCTAGCCAAGTTGACACATAACTTTAACCACAGCCAGTGTGATTCTCATTTTACACCTTGGCTTCTGTTACTACCAGATGTGCATTGTTCATGTGCAAAATAGGACAACAGTAGGTTTTTGTTTGTTTTTTTACTATTGCAGTACATAGGAAAAGTCATATAATGATATAGTAGGTAAGTGAGCAGTAGGTGTATAGCTCCAAATTAAATATTTATTAGTGATTTATATTCAATAAGAAACCAGTCATTGAAACCTCATCACACAATACAGCCATATGCTTCTGGAACATTTAAATAATGTGATTTCACGTTTGAAAATTTAAAAATACATACTGCATTGAAAAATATGAAGAAAACATATCAAGCTAGTGGTTTAAAATATATTTATTAAGGCTTCCTCTTAGGGGATAAGAGCTCTGGTAGTATAGTGAGTTACAAGTTGGGTGCTAACTGCAAGGTCAGCAGTTCGAAGTCCCCCCAGCTGCTCCACAGGAGTAAAATGGGGCTTTCCACTCCTGTAAAAAGTTACAGTCTCAGAAACTCACAGGAGCAGTTCTACCCTGTCCTATAGGGTCACTGTGAGTCAGCATCAACTCAATAGCAGTGAGTGAGTTAGGGAAAGGATACACCAGTTGATCTCTTCAAACAAACAATTGTCCAAAATAGATTCATGTTCGGTCTCCTGATTCTGAAACAAAACAAGACAAGTCAAACCCACCATTGGGGACTAGACCATTGCAACCCACATGCATCCAGGAGAAATGGCCAGCATGTAGCATGACTTTCCAGACAACATGCAGAAACTGGAAAATTTGATTCTCCTTGACTTGCCCAATAAAGAATCTCTCCGTATAGGTCTTTCTGGAAGCTATCGCAGCCTGTTCTTACACCCTTTTGATCCCATGGTTAACTTTGCTTATATAAACCACTGTAATGTCTTCTTCAAATGCACCAGAGGGTCCCAGATTTGACAGCTGGGCTATAATTCCAGTTATTTCTAAAGGCATTATCTTAACCGCTCATGTAAAATTATATGCCAACTTGTAATTTATTGTCATTTTGGAATGTTCATCTCTAGTCCATATAAGGAAGGAAAATAAAACCACGGCGAATGCTAAGTGAGCCTCAAGGAAGCAAAATCATATGCCCTGTAAAATAGATACGAAGCCCAGTGACTTGTCCATTTCATGCAACCAAATGTCATCCAGAAGACCAGAGGTTGGGATTCTTGCCCACTTTTCACCATAGACACATGCAAGTGGACTTGGAAAAGCTCATGGAAAAAGGAACTTTTTGAAACCCCAGGGTGTAGAGCCCACATCACTTTAGAGCTCATACCAATTAGAGCCCAGAACTTTCTAGAGCTTCAAAATGAGCCACACAATCAAATCTGCACTGCTTTAAAAATAAAATAAAATACTCTCCAAGCAACACTCTATTCATCAATTGTAGATCTCTAGTGACTTTCATCAATGATTGCCATATTGCACAGAACATCATTGCACTTGCTTCTAACGTTTTAACTAAATTGGATCCTTGGGAAAACCATAGGTGTTTAATGTTATTTCATTCCATTATATGTTTTGTATTTTTTTTTAAATACACATTCGTGTCTCAGTACACTTTGCTTTCTGGAAATCTGATTCCCCCAAGTATTGGTTCTGAAAAGAAAGGTCTGCTTATTCCCTGGTCAGTGAGGTTATCTAGGAAAGCTAACACTGTGCCCTTAGAAGCAAATGGATATGACTTCTGATCTCCGCGGCCACCATCGGAGAATGTTCTCTTGGCTGACTTCCAGTTGCACTCTCTGAAGGATTTGTCCCCTTGCTCTCAATAGAGAGCCTTTGTACATTGTCATCCCATGATCTTTTCTGTTGGTTGGAGAGCAACGCCAACACTCTACAAGGTATCACACGTGAGGGATCCACTGTGTGCTGAACGTGTGTTTTCAGATGCAAGGAAGGAATGTTGAGAAGGAGAAATGCGGTTTTTTTATTACGGTAGGGAAACCTGGCAATCCGGAACTTTGCAAATTGCCAGCTTGTGTGGGGAATGGGCGGGTGGGTACGGGGTGTACTTTTTATAAGTAATATTTAATTTATTATTTAGAATGGCTTCTTTGGGGATAATTTATGATAAAAATAAAAGGGTTATCCGGTTGGGAATCTAGATTCGGCGGTTAAAGCTGCAGTGTTCCAGAGCTCTGAGGGCCGCCTTTGCAGGCGAAGTGTCCATTGTTGAGAATGGGGATGCATTCAGGCAAAGCCTTCCTGCTTCACTGCCACCGCCTTCTCCCTTCCCGGGTCCTACAAACCCAGTAACACCAAACCGAAAACACCCTGATGGCATTTTGCAGATCACTGCTACTCATTCTCTCAAAGGGCTTTGCAATGAAGGCAACTTGTTATAGTTGGTAGTGATACGTTTATTTGGTAGAAATGGGTATACTACAGCTTTAACTAGCCTTAGTGGAAAGAGAGAC